CCCCCCCCCCAAAAAAAAAAATAATAATAATCTGATTAGCTACAGCTGTATGTCCCACCACGTTCTCTGAGGTCAGCGGACCAGTTGCTCCTCACAGTTCCAGGATCTCGTCTTAAGCGCAGAGGTGACAGGGCCTTCTCTGTAGCAGGACCAAGACTTTGGAACGAGTTACCTCTGCTTGTCAGACAGGCCCCCTCCCTCTCGTTTTTAAAATCCCGTTTAAAAACCCACTACTATTCCGTAGCTTTCAACACCAGATGATCTGTGTTTTGAACCTGGATGCTTCACACAGGCTAGTCGTTATAGTTATTACCTGCGACGTTTTTACATCTATATTCTGATTGAACTTCATTTTGTACGTCGCTTTGCGTGTTGCCTGCTTTTCTGTTTGTACAGCACTTCGGTTGGCCTTGTCGCTGTTTTACGTGCTCTATAAATAAAACGGTATGGTGTGGTATCTAAGATCTTTGTATACTGTTTCTTTTTAATACTTTATTTTATTGCTATTTTTGGGTGTAGCTGGGACCTCGAGTCCATAATTTCGTTCCACCTCATGTACGACATGTGATGCGAAGTCACCTTGAGTCTTGATATACTGTTGTCGTTTCCACCTCATGATAACTGATCCACACCTCTACAACCCACCGGTGCCAGTAATTATCTACCTGATCCCGTGCGTACTGGCGGTGCGCATTTTACGCAGTCCCCAACATGGCAGACATTTACAGCTGGTGCTGCTTTTCTATTATTACCAAGACCTTACAATTTACCTGCTCATCTTTAACATAAATATAAATACAGAAAAAAATATATATATTTTTTTCTTTTCTTGAGATCCGTGGCTAAATGTCCCGAGTATTTAGGCCACGTTAGAGCTCGCAGTGATCAGCTTTAAAATGTTACCCTAAGATCACAGGACTGTGCTGAACTGGAGCACTTCCTCTTTAAGAAAGTGACAGCACAGGAACTGGTCAGGATCGGGACGCGGCTGTGCTGGAATCCCAACAAAACTTTCCCAACAAAGTCAAGTGGATTACAACTTTTATCGTTGCTTTTATTTTCCGTCTCACTCGCAGCTTGCCGCTGGATGTCAAGTCGACCAAAACGCGTCCGTGTTGTGCGTCTCGGCGATGAAGTAGACGCGAACAAGCGCCTGGAAAACGGAGGAGTAAGTTTGGGAAATGATGCCCGAGCGACTGCATCCCTCCCTCCAAAGTTCAGCTAAGGTGGCTAACGTTAGCTAGCTCCAAGCTGCTTCCTAAACGCGCCGTGAAACTTTGTTTGCGATCCAAACAAGCGAAAATCCGTCCAGTCGTTGCCTAAAAAAAAGGCCTGCTTTTAGCGGATGATCGTCCCCAAGTGAAAGTTTTCATCGTTGCCTCGGGTTGAGAGGATCCCGCTAATCGGTTAGCATCTGTTTAAAACTCACAAAGAGGAATAAAAAAAAAAAAAAACGCGACACACCTCTTCGTGTTTACGGGCTACAACTTCACCATGAGGAGAATGCGGCACTTCCAGGCGACTTCGTGTGGACTACTTGAAGAGCATCACCTCCAGAGCTTCAGGAGATGAGAGAGGAGGCGAACCATGAGCTTTTTTTTTGTTGTTGTTGTTGTTGTTGCTGAAAACCTGTGTAGGATGTGCTGATTTCTACATGTGGAGGAAGAACTATGAAGTGTGGAGCTCTGGATTTGTGCACCAGCGTGGGGCCTTCTGAACCACCTGGTGTGAGTTGTTAAACTTCAGCACCCCCTGTTTTCATCCACCGTTTTAGCCTTTTTTAAAGCACATTCCCAGCTTTTAATGCACTGTTGGTAGTGGTTCTTCAGCTCTTTTGAGGGCCTGGATGAGCAGGATTGTGCCAAAATGAAGGTGACTGTAACTTTTGGACAGACAGGCGTAGTGGTGCCTTGCAAAGAGGGATGGACTGTGCGAGACCTGATCCAGCAAGCCACGCAGAGATACAGGAAACTCCTGGAACAGGTAATCACGCAAAGTTTTGTTCATTCATTCAACCTTTATTTAGACCGGTTAATCCCATTGAGCCTCGGGGACTCCTTTACAAGGGAGACCTGATTTCTTTTACAGAGTGATGACAACAGTGGATAACGACGACAACGATAGACAATCGTAAAAGAAGCATACCTTTTAAAAAAAACAAAAAAACAAATTAAAATAAAATGGCAACCAAAAGGACTGTGAAAAGGAAACCGTTGCAAAAAACCAACGAAAAAACCCCCCATCTATTTTATAAGGCAATGTAGAAAACTAAAAACAGGAACATGTCTGCATTGGTTTTTGCCAGGAACGTAACAGATGCTTAAAGCCACTTAAGAGAGGTCAAGGTCGAGAGCTTCAGATCTTTTTGCAAGATATTCCAGGAAACGGGAACGGGGTAGGAGAAGGCCCTTTTGCCTAGTTCAGTCTGCACTGAGGGAACACTGCAGGTAATAATGTCCTGAGAGCGCACGCTGTAGCTGCACTCACACAGAGACATGTAGGAGGTGATGCATGAAGTCAACAGACCAAGAAGTGATTTAAAGATGAAAATGTACCAGTGAGAGAGTCTGAGTGAAGTTAATGGCGTCCAGTTAACCAGTGAGTACAGGGTGCAATGGTGGGTACGGTAGTTACATCCAGTTATGAACCTTAGCACACTATGATGGACAGTGTCCAACATCTGCTGCATGCTGGATGTTTAAAAGCCACTTGTTGGGGACTGCCTAGTAAGACAGCCACCTATTATTATCCACCTGACCACCCGCTTTGAACGTTGTCAACCATTAAATGGCCGTTATTAGTTGTTATCATCCCCATAGGTTGCGTTCAGACTGTCCCTCCTGTACCTCCTAGTAGGTTTAAAGGTACGTTCTTATTGCTGATAACAGGGTCAGGTGGTTAGGTTTAGGGTCAGGTGGTTAGGGCCCCGATTTCCTTAATTTTGGGAGATCGGCGATCAGCCGATACTTAACACGAGAGACCGATTTTTTTTGTAGTTTTAACAACAATTGTCTAAACTTCCTTTCTATTTCAGAGCACTACCTCATGGCCAGTTAAAACGAAGTTTGTATTGTTTCTAGGATGTTGTTCAACGGTATGTTTTTCAGTAAAATAAGATAAGGCTTAAATAAAGCTAACCAAAAAAAAAGCATCCGGTTTTAGACGCTGCATGTTATCAGTGATAAGAACGTACCTTTAAACCTGCTAGGAGGGACAGTCTGAATGCAAGCTATGGGGATGATAACGACTAATAACGGCCATTTAATGGGCTGACAACATTCGAAGCCGCTGACCTGACAAACGTTTAACTTTATATCTTACTCTTCCATCAACTTTAATGCAGCCCGAACCGCAATGTGCACCCTCACAAAGGGGAAAAATAAAAATGTAAATCAGCCCTTTTCAGCGATATTAAGCTGAAATATGATGTGGTTATAGCTGAGAACGTTCCCCATCACATTCTGGATCCAAATCAAAAATCCAAGATGGCCACCATAGCTTAAAAGAAAAAAATGAATTTAACTCATTGATATTTTGCCATTTTGGGCTGAAATTCGATGTGATGGTAGCTGAGAGCGAACCCCAACACATGAAAAAATTTAGATGGTTGCAACGTGGCAGTAGCCGTCAACGTTTCTCCAGGAACTTTCTTGTTTAACTCTGCTGCTGTTTTGGTACTTGGTGACATTTCTTCCATTAATGCTGTCTCAGTGGTGTGTTTGAGAATATGCACAAAAAACCGGATGAACGATGACTTCACTTTCGTTGAGTATGACTTCTCAGCCTTCAGCTACCTCCATTATTCATTATGTTTTATTCTGTAATAATAGTGTAAGATATTCATGAACCACAGAAGAGGGGTGAGATAAAGTTTTATGGCTGTACTTTCATAACATTTGATGTCGTCCCTGAAGTTATAAGAAAATAGTCCGAAGCGCCTTTCATTTTTATATCATGAAAGAAGCATACGATTCTCAAGCCCCAAAGAATTGGGAAATTAGACAAAGCCACAGAAGTCCAGTTCTCCATAACTGCCATATAAAAAATTAAAAGCGTATCTGATATGGATGGGGACAGTCCAGACAGGAGCAGACGAGAACCATTTCCAATTTAACTGCGAGTGTAAAATGCAAATGACTCTGTCTTGTGATTCTTTATACGACTGCTGTTGATTCCCTGCACTGCTCTCAGGGCAGGAACCCCATGACCCCCATCAGACAAGCAAATCATCTCAGTGACTTGCTTCATATTGGGTCCATTATTCAAAAAGCACAGCAGTCATATGGATAGATAGGCTCAGTTTTGATTCAAGGAGAGATCTGCCAAAGCTGTGTGCGTGTGTGGTAGCAGTTGGAGATGCCCTCATATTCCCGTCCTCTTCTTTTTTGTGCTCTCCGTACCTCTTTTGCGTTATAATCTGCTTTTGCCTACCCATATATCACCACTTAGTTCACACAGTTCTTTTTTATCATTCTTATCTTGCCCAGCATTACCTCTTCTGTTCACCTCCCTCGGTGCTGTGCACACAGATAAAACCTTTGTTTCCCTTTCTGGTGAACTATTCTTCCTCTTTGTATACTTCCCCCTTCATGAAATGGCTCAGTTCCACATAGAAATAGAGATGTGTGGTTTTATTTTTACAGGAACATAATTTACAAAGTGATATGCATAGGTGGAGGGAATACATGCATGTTTTCTCTCACAAGTTCACCAAATGTTAACAATTAAACCTTTATTGGTTTACAGGATGAAACAATGTGCTGGAACAAGGACTAATTGTGTGGTTCAGTTTGTTTGACCCTCACACCATGCAAGTTGTTTGCAGTGGGGTTTATTTGTACATTTTACAGATGTTTTTTAAAAACCGCTATTTAATCAGGAAGTCCCTTGAGATAAACATCCTTGTTACAAGGGCAACCTGGTCAAAATGGCTCTCTGTTACAAAGTTACAAGTTAAAAATTGCAAATAATATCAAAATACAAAAAACAAACTACTCGGAATCAATATAAAACACAAAACGTCCAGCTTTATTCATTTTATTTATTTAACAGAACTCCACACAGAAAGACCCCAGGCCCAAACTAGGGATTGGACTGGGGACTTTTTTGTTGTGAAGCAAAACCTCTAATTCAACTGGTGGCCCGGGGGTCAAATCAGGCCCACGGGTGAGCTCTGTTCGGCCCACCAATGGGCTCATTTTTAAATAAAACTAGATTTTAAACCATAAAACAAGCATAATGACAATAACTGCTGGATGTCTTGCCTCTGAGATCTTGGCTTTCAGTAACTGTGGTCCCCTGAGCAAGTTAGTTGAATAGCCCTGTATTGCGATGTCCACAAAGAAGTAAGAACTGCTAAAATAGTAGTTACACTCTTCAGTCACAGACGAGTTCATCAGAGCTTTAAACGCTCAAGGAGATAAAACATTAAGATTTAGTTTGGTTTGATAGATTGACCATGACAAAAATTCAAAATTAAAGAATGCTTTTTTCATTCAACCTTTATTAATACAGACTAGTCTCATTGAGCCACGAGGACTCATTTACAAGAGGAACCTGTTCCAGACAGAACATAAAGTACAGACAACAATAATAATAAACAATAATAACAATAAACTACAATAAAAATGCAGTTAAAATAAGAGTAGCATATAAAACAATAAATCAGGGTGCCGTAAAACAAAGTAAAATACTGCAACAAGAACATTTGCTTTGATTTTTCTAATGACAATATCAAATGTTTAAAATCCCCTAAAGAAATGGAAGGTGGACGGCTTCAGTTATTGTTGCAAGGTGTTCCATGTTGCAGGAACTAAGTAGGAAAAAGCCTTTTTGCCAATTTCAGTCCACACTGATGTAACGCTGCAGGTAATGATGGCCTGAGAGCGCATGTTGTAACTGCACTGACAATGTGACCAGTGGGAGGAGATATAAGAAGGTAGCAGACCAAGGAGTGATTTATAGATGAAAATGAACCAGTATGAGAGCCTGCATGAAGTTAATGATGACCAACTGACGGAGTACAGCGTGCAGTGATGGGTATGGTAGTTACAACCAGTTATGAATCTTAGCGCACCATGGTAGACACCATCCAACATCTGCAAGGAGCTGGCAGGGGCATTCATAAATAATGTCACCATAGTTAATGGCCGGTAGGAAGGTAGCGGTTGCAAGGCATTTTCTGGCATTCAGAGTTAAGCAAGATCTATTTCTGAAAAAGCAACCCAGTTTTAATTTCTGTTTCTTTATCAAGTTTTTGATTTTTGGTTTAAAAGCGAGATGCACATCAACCAAAATTCCCAAGTATTTGTAAGAATCTACAAACTCAATAGGAACACCATGCATGGATGAGATAGGACGAAGAGTTGCTGCCACCGACTTTTTGTTGGAAAACAACATCTCTTTGACTTAGTCAGCATTTAACACCAGCTTGAGATGGAATAAATCTGACTGAATGATGTCAAATGCAGACTGTAGAAGCTGGAAAACCATGGCAACTCTGTTAGCTCAGCAATAAACAACAGTGTCATCGGCATAGAGATGCAAGGATGCGTCAGGAATGTTTTGACATACATTATATAAATTTTAAAAAGAGTGGGACCTAAAACTGAGCCTTGTGGCAGACCATTAGTGACCTTTTGGCAGCTAGATAAAATACCGTTATGTGGAACACATTGCCTCCGACCTGAGAGATAGTTTGAGAACCAGCTAACAGTGTTATCTGAGAGCTTGTGGCAAAAGCTATCATGATCCACAGTATCAAAGGCTTTGGATAGGTCTAAGTAAAGTGTAGCACAGTAATACTTAGCGTCCAGTGCTTAAACAACATCATTAAAAACCTTTAGCAAAGCGGTCATTGTGCTGTGCTGTTTCCTGAAGCCAGATTGGAGGGAAGATAAAATATTGAGTCCAAGTTAGGGTTGCACCAATTGCAGTTTTCTGGCCGATCACCGATCACAATCTCTAAAAAGCCTGACCTGCTG